ATATATATATATATATATATATATATATATTAGTATATACCAAATCAAGAAGCAAACATAAAAATGAAGATTTATTGTCCCTTTGCGAGTAACAATGTAATATCAAAATAAACACTGAAATGAGAATAAAGATAATAATAAATTAAAGAATTAAAAAATAGATAAATCAAGAATATGTTGAAATTGAAGGAATACTGAAATGAAATACTTACATGTAACAATAATATGTGTGTCTTGATGATAAAGCTTTGATGTTCATTGACATATTCAGCGACCTTTAGATGGCTTGTTTTTGTTTGTGCCACTTACGACGGAAAAAAAAATCAACATAAACCATATAAAGCCAACATATTAACAAAGATTGACCTTTTAACAAGACAAATCTAGTAAGAAAAAAGGGATATTCACCAAAATAACCAAAATATACCTGATATATTAACGAAATAGCCAACTTTTGCAAAAACTACCAAAATACCCACACGGATCGCCCCCAGGATGCATGTGGGACCCACCAAATTGATTTTTTAATATTCTTTTGTACTTTTTTGGTCAAATAAGATGAGATCGCCCCCATGGTCAAACCTCGCCCCCGGGGGCGATCCCTATGGGTATGTTCGTAATTTTGGTAAAATTGGTTATTTCGTTAATATATCAGGTATATTTTGGTCATTTTAGTGAATATCCCGAGAAAAAAATGCTTTAGAGGGAGAGATTGACAGGTATGTTGTTGTACCACAAAAAGGTTAAAAAACCAATCACATAGCCAACCAAAAATAAAAAATCACTTAGGCTTAAATTAAATAAATTAAATAATGAAAAACCAAAAGTTAATAACATAAAGATGTTAACGAGAAAGTAAACAAAACAAGGCTAAATGGATTTAAAGTGCTTACATTAATTAAAATAAATAATGAACAACGAAAAGTTAATAACATAACGATATTAATGGGAAAATAAATAAAATGAGGTTAAATAGAGGACGAAACAGGGGAAAAAATGGGTTTGAAGTGTTGAGAAGATGTCAGATCAACGTCTTTGGTTTCTCAAATGCAAGAACTAACTAAGTCGGCATCTCAAATGCAAGGTTCTTATAAACAAAAAGTGAAGTGACTTGTAAGAACGGTTATTGTGGAGAGTCACTATGGGTGCGTTTGGTACACTGGACAGGGATATGACAGAACAGGACAGGGATCCCTGTCTCATGTTTGACATGGATTTTATGTGGAACAGACATGAACAGAATGGGACAAAGTGGAACATGCTTGTTCCACCCCTACCTCATGGAACAGGGTGGAACAAACTTATATTTTACCAATATAACCTCAAAATAAAACTTAATTCTCTTCTAAAACATCAAATAGGTCTCTCTTTTACATTTTATTCATTCTTTAAATTTTATTTATTGTATTTTATGTTTCTTAAACTTTCATTTTACTGTCCTCAAAATATTACTTTTATACGGTTTCTACATCTTTATTAATTTATGTAATTTATAATATATTATTAATAATAAATAATGTAGAAAAGAGATAAAAATAACCAATCATGTCATGTCTTACCAAACGCTGAACAGTTGTCATGTCCTGTCCTGTCATGTCTTGTACTGTCCTGACTGCGTACCAAACGCACCCTATAAGAACCTCACCCCTTTAAGTTTTTGTACAAAACCTTGGTTCTTATCATGAAACTTGTGTGAAATGACAACTTCCTGGTTTCTTTTATATATTTTTTGACTTTAAATAATCATTGTTGTTGAAAAAAGTAGTCATGAAAATGGGGCGGGAAACTTAATCCTCGTCCCCGTCTCCGATTACTTATCTCTATCTTCGTCTCCATCTCTACCAGGGAATATAATCACATTCCATCCCAATCCTCAACGGGGAAACGGGGATATTTTTTTCCTGTTTATGTAAGTTATTTTAAATTAAATATGTGAGAGACCATACATATTTAAATCTCAAACATCAAAACCAAAATGAATTTAATTTAGTACAAAAAAACCATAATATCATATAAGAACTAATAACTTAAAACCAAAAAAATTCAATTTAATCCAAAAAAACTTAAAGTCACATGTATCAAAAGATATTGAGTAATATAAAMCCATATCAAGTAATATACAAAACTTATCGAGTAATTATATTTTGACTTGACATAAAAAGTATTACATATTAACATCCAAAAAACAACAATTTTATACTATAAACCTAGTTAGAAAATATGAAATTATGAATTACTATTTTAGTTGAAATTTTATATATATATATAATTTATTAATTAATATATATAACGGGTACGGGTACGGGTACGGGTACGGGGTGGGGCGGGAAGTATCATACCCGTCCCCGTCCCCGGTTTGAGACAAACGGGGATCCCCGTCCCCATCCTTGATTTAGCGGGGAATCCCCGTCCCCGACCGGGTTCCCCGACGGGTCGGGGTCCATTCCCATGCTTATAAGAAATACTTCGTCCACTTTTATATGAATTCTTAATTTAATGAGTTGAAAGTGAAGTAACAATAAACAGTGCAAAAAAAAAAGGGTTTATAAGAACCTCCATTGGATGATGTTATCTGCACCCTTTTTATATCAAAATCATACATTGAAATGTAAAAAAGTAAGGTATTTTTGTTTTTTAAGAAGTGTTTGAAATCTAAAATCTCATCTATTTCTGATTGATAAAAGATGAGGCTAAAGTCTGAAAGCAGAATCAATAAAACTGTTTGTTTTTTAAAACTGGTAGATATCTAAATTCGTATAATTATCTATTTTACCTTTCAAAATATTATAATGTTGAATTAATATACACTAGTATTTGACACCGAGCGTTGCACGATGACAACAATTTTTTTAAAACCATTGAAGTTAGCAAAATAAGTTGATGATCACATTTGTATATTAAATTAATAAGAATCAATATTACATTGAAGTTTGTAGTAAATCTGAAAAAGAAATAACAATTTAAAAAGAACATATTGAAGTTTGTTGAGGTTATATCACAAATTTTAGTAAATACATTCAAATTCAATTATCGAACCGTTATTGCCATCAAAACTCTATAACCGCTGCCAAGAACATACCCTCGATTCCATTCAAAAAACTTAAGACAAATATAGAAGACAAAAGTAAAAATTAACTATAAAATCCCAACAAAAGTCAAGAATAATATCTAAATTAGAGGTTGTTTGTTTACTTCTTAATAGTTCTATTAAGAGGTAACATCGTTAAAAGTTGAATTTTGCTTGGCAAAAAAAAGTATCCCTCTTCATGGTTTTTAAGCCATCGGAATGATTTTGTATCATGGGCCTTCCTTAACCATTAAGCGCCTTAATTTCATTGCAAACAATTACCTGAAATAAAACTTTGAACAATGACTCTTCAGACTTATACTCTGGAAGTAATTCTGAAATAAAACTTTGAATAATGACTCTTCAAACTTGTACTATTGAAATAACTTTGAAGTATAAAATCAATACCATTAAATCAGAGTTCAAACTTCTAAGTATGAAAAAAAAAGACTTTAGAGTTCAAACTTCAAAGTTCGGGTGAGCTAAGTCTGAAAAAGAAAATTTCAGAATTCAGGTGAGCTAACTCTGAAAAATGACTCTTCAGATTTGTACTTTTCAGAATTGTAGAAGACTTCAGAGTTCATACTTCTAAGTCTGAAAAAAAAAACTTCAGAGTTCAGACTCCAAAGTTCTGGTGAGCTTTGTCTGAAAAGGCAAATTTCAAAGTTCATGTGAGCTAACTCAAAGAATGACTTTAGACTTGTTCTCTTGAAATAATTATGAAGTAAAACTTTTCACTAAAAATTGAATCTAGAATAAAATGAAGTTACCCTTAGAATAAAATTGAAATTTATAAATGAAACTATATAAGTAAATTGAATTTAAATTTAGAAGTAACACCATTTTTTCGGAAACCAGTTACCACAAGAATTAATTAACCCAAGAATAAAATTAATTGCATCATAAAAATTAGTGGAATTGATTGAAAAAGAGGACACATGTCAATCAAATGAGTATAATTAAACTGTTCATGTAAATTGTGTCTAGATACATTCAAATGAGTCAAATTGAAACAATAAATGTAAATTGTGTTTAGATACATGTTTAAGTGGGAAAACAAAAAAATCGACTCGCCTAAAGATTACATGTGTCACCCAAATTACTTATTTATTATAAGTATATATATATATATAGGTTGGTTATTATACAACTCTTCACATTTGTGCAACCAATACATTCCAATCTCAACCGTCAATTTCATTTGATTAATATGTGAGTTAATAGAAGTTTTGATTGTTTTCTAATATAAAGTATTGATCATAATTAATGAACCATATTCATCTTTCATAAATATTCAAATCATAATAAATGAACTCTCATCATTTACATAAGTATTTCAATTTATTGGGTTGCATTGGTTGTATAAATGCGACGAGTTGTATTTGAAACAAATTATATATATATACAACCAATGCAACCCAATAAATTGAGATATTTATGGAAATGATGAGAGTTCATTTATTATGATTTGAATATTTATGTAAGTTGAATATGGTTCATTAATTATGATCAATACTTTATATTAGGAAACAATCAAAACTTTTATGAAATCATTTAATCACATATTAATCAAATGAATGGACGGTTAAGATTAAGTTATATTGGTTACACAAATATCAATAATTATATAATAACCAACCTCTATATATATATATATATTAATTAACGATTAAATCTTTTAAAATTTCTTTAACTCCTATACATTTAATTCCAAGAATTCAGACATGGGTAGAGCTTAATCAAGCAACAATCTTTTTAGCGTTTTATAAATCGTCACTCCAATGTCGATAACAAAGATCGAATTCCATGAAACTCCCAGACGTTTTATTTCAAAACCATCGCCCTTTGCGTCACTCGCGGTTTTCATCAAACAGTTGGTGGGCGGAGTTTCCACAACACTTGTTTTTCTCTCACTGAAAACCCAAGGTTTTCTTTCTGTCTATATATCTATATCTATCCACCATAATCATCCATGATCCATATAATTTGAAATCCCAAAACTCCCAGAAACAACAGTTGGGAACAATGGCAAGCATTGCTACCACCTGTTCTTCTGCTTTGATTTTCAGAAGAAAAGAATCAATAAGCAACAACAATGGAGGTTCTATGCTTCACTACAATGGGCTTAGAGCCATTGAGGTCAATCAGATTGCTGTCTCATCTGGGTTCAACCCTGCTTGGTCCGCTTCTACTTCAGGTCTGTTTTTCGTATTCAAAACTCGCCCAATTTCATATATTAAGTTTTCTTTTGATTATTCTGCATTTATGCTGTTTCACCGTATCTAAGTGTAAATATGATCTTTGCATGTGTATATAAGTTGGTGTTCTTATGCTATTGTTGTCAATAACATCAACTTCTTCTTGATCACGGATGAGTTTAAGCGACATTATGTTGAATCAAGTGATACTTTTGATGCTTTAAGATCATTTAGGAACCGTAAACATTTTCATTATTCATGATATTCGTGTAAATATTCATCATTAATAATTTGTTAGGGTCAGTTTGTTAGCAGCTTCATGAGCTTAAATGGACTTACAGCTTATTCGGTCAGCTATATAAGACTTTTTGGTAGTGGCTTAATAATATAGAAAGTGGCTTATTCGACGATCTTCTAGGGGGAGATTTATGCGGAAAGCCAAGTTTTTCCCCAGACCAGTCCCTTGATGGAGTCCACAATGGCTAGACTTGATCATTTCTCTCAATATATGATATCTCCCGAAGGCTTCTTTTTTAGAGTAATCCAATGGGGTTCCACATATTCACTTATGGTATCATAGCCAAGGTCTGCCAGTCTAGGGACTCAACACTTCGGCCCAATCTGAACCCATCTACTCTCAACACTCGGGGACAATCCGTGTCCATCTATCCCCCATTGGAGGGGGTGTGTTGGAGTCTGACAACTGCTAGACTTGGACGATTTCTTCTCAATATATGATCGAACCTCCCCTTCTCTCGTCAATAGCTCTTTTAGGGAGTAATCTTAAGGGGTTCCACATATTCTGACGTTTCTAATTTCGTGTTTTGTTGTTCTTTGGTAGTTCAGATTGGTCTTTAGAATTTCTGTCTTGCTTTTCTTTGTACTTTTTGATCTTTCTTTTTAAGTTTAACTTAAAATATCGGTCTTGAAATCTTTATGATGTCATATTATGATGGTTTTTAATCATATGGGCAGCTTCAAAATCTAGAGCAATCAAGGCCATGGCGGCTCCAACTGTTTCAGCTCCCAAACGAGAAACGGACCCAAAGAAGAGGGTTGTGATAACAGGAATGGGACTTGTTTCTGTTTTCGGCAACGATGTTGACACATTCTATGACAAACTTCTAGAGGGTCAGAGCGGAATCACTCTAATAGACAGATTCGATGCTTCCTCTTTTACTGTTCGTTTTGCTGGTCAGATTCGTGATTTTTCTTCAGTAGGCTACATCGATGGGAAAAACGATCGTCGTCTTGATGATTGCTGGAGATATTGTTTGGTTGCCGGCAAAAAGGCCCTCGAGGATGCAAACCTTGGCCAAGAAGTTCTTGAAACAGTGAGTCTTTTAACCAAATTGTACTAAAAAAAAAACTTGACTTTTTCCCAATTCTCTTCAAAACATTTTCTGCCCGTTATAGAATCACTTAAAACTAAGTCTTTGATAAACTAGTTGTTGGCTGATAAGCTAGTCGATGAACTAGTCATGTTTGGCAAACTAGCTGATAGCCTAACTGATGACTGATAAGATAGTTGTTGTCTAGCTTATTAGTTGTTGTTAGCTGATAAGCTAGTTGATGAACTAGTCATCTTTGGCAAACTAGCTAGCTGGTGATTGATAAGCTAGTTGTTCGCTTAAAAAACTAGTTGTCGGCTGATAATCTAGCTATGTTTGGTAAAAGCTAGCTGATAAGCTGGATGACAATGTATAATTACAAAGACATGTTGAAAATTTTAATTGGAAAAATTGGGAAAATTTCTAACTTATTGTTGCCAAACATGTTTAACTGTTTGTACTAGATGGACAAAACACGAATTGGAGTTCTAGTTGGCTCGGGTATGGGAGGGTTGACGGCTTTTAGCAACGGAGTGGAAGCACTTATTCAGAAGGGATTCAAGAAAATCACTCCGTTTTTCATCCCTTACTCCATCACCAACATGGGATCGGCATTGTTGGCCATAGATACGGGTTTAATGGGCCCGAATTACTCGATTTCGACAGCTTGCGCAACCGCAAACTACTGCTTTTTTTCTGCTGCAAATCACATTAGAAGAGGAGATGCCGATATTATGGTTGCGGGTGGAACGGAAGCTGCGGTCAATGCTACTGGCGTTGGTGGGTTCATTGCTTGTAGGGCCCTGTCCCAAAGAAACGACGAGCCCCATAGAGCTTCTCGACCGTGGGACCAAAATCGTGATGGTTTTGTTATCGGTGAAGGTTCGGGTGTCCTGGTAAATTCCAACTCCTACTCAACTTTTTACTGTTTAATTAAGTATACAAGTAGTTGAATGGGTTCAAATCAGTAATCCTGAAATTGCAGATCTTTTCCTAAAAGGAGTAGGCGCTAATTCTATCTCAAACGTATTTAGGTGGTTTAAAGATTCTAGTTATATACAATTACATTGTTGTTGATTTAGTTAAAATTCAAGTTACACGACTTGGTGAACGCGACCTATAGGTCAGCTGCTATATGCCTGTCAACGCAACATGTTGTATCATATATGATACGTGTTTGTATCACATGTAATCATGTGTGATCTTGGAACTTCTCACCTTCTGGCAAATTGACTGCCTTCTCATTTGAGCCTAACCCGGAATTTATATATATAGGGGAATTCCCGTCTACGACCGGGTCAGGCGAGCCGGGTGCCCATTGGGTTGGGTCAAACCACCGTCTCTAATTCCTGCTATTTGTTATCGGGTTTGATCTAGTTTTTTAGAAAAAAAATTCCCAAAATTTGTGAAAGTAGTATGTCTGGCCAAAAGTCGTATTCTTTCCATTCTTTCCAAAAAAAGTCATATTCTAGTCTCTACAGGGTTGTTTGGTTGGTTTTCCATTGAGTTCTGTATGGATAAAGATGTATGTGTGGATTAATCTGTCTATATAGATTGAGAAGGTTTTTGTTTGGACGGGTTTTTCCATAGATGGAAGGAGCGCATTTTTTTAATTGGGAGGGACATGTTTGGAAAAACTTGGCTTTTTGCATAAAATCCCCCCCTTAGAAGCTTACTGAATATGCCACTTTGGGTATCATTAAGCCATTATCAAACAATCATCTATAGTTGACCAAATAAGTTGTAAGTCCATTAAGCTGCTAACAAACATGCCAAGTGTTTTGTGGCTGCACAAATTGTTTGGGCCTCTGATTGTATGGATCCAAGCCCAAAATCTGTTCCCAGGATTCACTCTCACGGCTTGGATCGGGTCAGGTCTCAAGTTTGACTTTTGAAAGTCAAAGGAGTTGTAACGTCGTGATTGTTGACAGATTATGGAAAGCTTGGAGCACGCAACAAAGCGCGGAGCTAATATAATTGGCGAGTATTTAGGAGGCGGCATAACTTGTGACGCTCACCACATGACGGATCCTCGCAAAGACGGCCTCGGAGTCTCTTCCTGCATAACCAAGTGTTTAGAAGATGCGGGTGTTTCTCCCGAAGAGGTAAAACCATAAAAAATCATCTTTCCCTCCAACCCAAAGTAAGTGTCTGTTTTCAAAAGTAAGTGTCTACTTTCTGATTCTACCTTTAATTATGAGGAGGAGAAATTCATCAATCCGTCTGTTACTAAGGGTAAAGTTGTCATTTAGTTAATTAAAAAGTGTAACAGTTACATATTTCTAAAACTGTGTTCTTTTTCATTGTGGATATATATTTTGTGATGGAGGGAGTAACACGGGTGGATCCTCACACACTTGTAGGTGAACTATGTGAATTGCCATGCAACATCAACTCTAGCTGGGGATATGGCTGAGGTTAATGCCATCAAGAAAATCTTTAAGGATACATCTGGGATGAAGATGAATGGAACCAAGGCAAGAACACTAAACCCCATTTCGATAATTCACTTTTTCTTTCGAGATTCTCTCTTTCCGTCACATTTTTCACTAGTGGGGGGTCTTCATGGAAACAACCGCTCTACTTTTTTGGGGTAGAAATCAGGTCTGCGTACATTTTACCCTGCCCAAACCCCAGTCACTCTACTGTTTTTTGAGTAGAATTCAGATTTACGTACATCTTACCCTATCTCCAGGACCAGGTGAGATATACGGGGTTCGTTTGGTCTACTTTTTTTCTTGGAGATCTAATTGTGAAATCTTTTGTTTTAGTCGATGATTGGACATGGTCTCGGAGCTGCTGGTGGATTGGAAGCCATTGCGTGCATAAAAGCAATCAACACCGGTTGGCTGCACCCTACGATTAACCAAGATGTAACGAATAAGACCCTGATCCATTTGCCAACGTTATCAACTGTTATATATATATATATATACACACACACACACACGCTTTTTGCATAAGTTGAGGGTCTTCATGGAACCTACCACTCTATCTTTTGGGGTAGAGAAGAGGTCTGCGTACATCTCACCCCCAATCCGTGCTTTCAAGTGGGATATATATACCGGCACTACAACAAAACCGGATTTTGAAGATGCAAAGAATGTCTAAATGTCCTAATAAACTGCTTTATAGAACTTAGGTTTATAGGATCAAACGATTGTGCATCCTATATATGTGTTACAGTAAGTTGACATAACATTTCTGGGCGTTCTAACAATTTTTTTAAGACAATTTTGAAATAAAGCATCTTATTAGTCTTTTATACGACATTATTTGAAAATATGTCTGATAAAAAGACATGTTCATAAGACACTTCTCAAAAGTGTCCTGTAAAAAACTAATAGAACACTTTGTTTCAAAAATGCCCTAAAAAGCTTGTTAGGATGTCCAAATACGTTATAACATCCTATTGTAACATATTTACATAGAACAGAGAATTGCTTAGTCCTCCATAAGACATTTAAGGATTGTTCACTTGTTTGGTTGGTTTTCCATCAAGTCCTGTATGAATAAAGTTGTTTGTGTTAATCTGTCTGTATAGATTGCCAAGTTTTAGAGGGTTCTTTCATAAATGGAAGGAGTGTTCTTTTTAATTGGGAATGAACATGTTTGGAAAAAAAACTTGGTTTTCTGCATAAAGTTTTCCATTAGAAACTTACTGAACAAGTCACTTTCTATATCATAAGCCAAAACCAAACAGTCATGACCAAATAAGTTGCGAGTCCCATTAAGCTGCTAACAAACAACCGTTTATCTATACAGTCGGATTCTAATCATTTTCTTCGCGTATGCAGAATCTGGAGCCTCAGGTCGACATCGATACAGTCCCAAATGTGAAGAAACAACATGAAGTCAACGTTGGTACGTCCAATGGATAAATAAGTTACATTACATTAAGACGTTCTTATAATTAAACGAATACTGAATCATTTCTCCTCTTGTTTCAGCCATTTCTAACTCGTTCGGGTTCGGCGGGCATAATTCGGTGGTTGCGTTCGCTCCATTTAAGCCGTGAGCAGATGCCCATTTCTATTCAGACCAGACAAACAATTTAACCATATTTGATGATCACGGTGTAACACTATTTTCCAAATTCATGTATTTGATGCGATTAACGATCTATCGGTCAATAAGACATTAATTGTGTTTTCGTTTCTGAATCAGGGGATTATGATTAAGCAAGAGCATCTTTACTATCTATACTATATTATAAAGCATTTGACAAAAACTCTTAAAAACCATTTTTTATACATGAAGTACTGTTTATTGATGTATATTACTTAGAATTCAAGATTACAAGAAAATAATGTACAAGTACGACTTATTAAAGCTCTTATGCTTGAATTCGTGTAACTAACTGCAGATAAACATAATTAAATATTGGATAAACATCTCATTTTAAATATAAAAATTTTAAAATATAATTAAGATAATTATTGTGTTCTAATAGAATACTTAATTATTATTTTTATAAAAATTATATTATTAAATCAAAAATAAGTTACTTCGTTATTAAACCTAAAATAAATTATAATAAAAAATTGAATTAAAAAATTACACAATAAAACAAGAACTTTTAAATAGTTATTTTGATATTAATATCGATATAAACTCACACACCTTCTCACCTTCGGTGAGGTTTGAACCCCGAGACTACGATACCGCTAGGTCAAAGACCCGTTGATTACCCTTCTAGTTTTTTTTTAAAATAGAGAAACAAAATTCCAAATTTTCTATTTTGAAGATTTTAATATTAATTATAATGCTCAAATATTCAAATTATTTAATACTCTATTAAATTTTTATATAAACTTTGAAACAATTTTTTTCTGTGAAATTTAGTATTTAGTGTAAGATTTACTGTCCAAATTGGAGATATCTTAGACCAACGCATCTGATTACTGCCAAATTGGTAGCTCCCAATCTTGCATTTAAGAGTTCAAACCTCACTAAACATAAAGATGTCATGAAAGTTCTGCTTTTAAAAAAAAAATTATTATTTGTATTTTATTTATTTTAAAAAATTATCTGGTTTTTTTTCAAACCAAATTTTATAAAATTAAAAAAAAATCATTATTTTATACATTAAAAAAATATTATTTTGGAAATTGTAACCTTAAAAATGTATGATTAAAAAGGCAATTAAGCACTTGAGGTTTTTAAGTGTTTTTTAGTTGTAAAGCAAACATGAAATTAATTAAGTCTAAAGTGAATCAGCGTTGCCCATTCAGACCTTAAACTTGGGTTTTTTTTTTTTTTTTTAAAAAGCTTCATTTAACGTCATCTCCATCGTCACAAACGACTTCCATTTCATATATATTTTATGAACACAGAATTCCACTTCTCATCATTATCGTAACATGCTCAAATTCCCCACTTTTATTTTTTTAATTTTGTTCAACTTTTCACTGTTCTGTCGTCGCCGTCGGCAGAATTACTGTTTTCTTTTATAACTGCTTCGATATTAAGATTTAAGAAGGTGTTTTCGATGTGTATCTGAACCGATAGTTATGACTTATAAGGGTTTGTTTGGCAGTTGCTAATTGATTTGGTGCAGGATGATTAAGGGTCATTAAGAGGCAACTTATGAATCGTTAAGAGGTAAATCTTGTTTGGTAAAAAAAAAGGCTGCCTCTTAATGGTTCTAAAATCCTCTGAATGATTTTGTATCATGGATCTCCCTTAACCATTAAGAGCCCTAATTTTATTTTACACAATTATCAAACAATTATATTTCATTTTGCATTATATCATGAGAGCCTTTTAATCATTCTGACCACTTAATCATTCTGCACCAAACCATTCAGCAATTGCCAAACGGCCTAAGTAGTCAGAATGATTAAGAGGCTCTCATGATATAGTAAATAATGAAATATAGTTGTTTACAATGAAATTAGGGCGTTGAATGGTTAAGGGAGACCCATGATACAAAATCATTCATATGGTTTTAAAATCATCAAGAGACAAACTTTTTTTTTGCCAAACAAGATTCAGTTTTTAGCGATTCAGATGTTGTCTCTTAATGAAACTATTAAGAGGTAAACAAGCAACCCTTTAAAGTATCTAAGAGTATCTTCAAAAGATTATCCAAAATGGATTAATTTTTTTAAAGATATTATGCAAGTTTACTGTTTTCTTTAATAACTGCTCTGATATTAAGATTTAAGGAGGCGTTTTCGATGTTTTTTTTAATTGATAGTTATAACTTAGAAGTATTTAAGAGCATCTTCAACAGATCCTTTAATGATCGACATGGGGGTTGAAACCATAATTGATTTTAGGGGTTCATTTATTTTCTGGTATTCGATCTGATTTTGATTAAAAATACATGGTTGTATATGTTTATAGTGTTTTGGTTTGAGTTTACACTACGGGTTTATAGATGTTTTTGATGTATATAGCTCTTGAATGTGGTTAATGTTCTTGTATGTATTTTTTATGTTATTGAAGATGTCGTTGTCAATGCCGTTTATAAGAGCAAAATGACGAAATTGTCCTCATATGAGGGCCACTTAACAGCTGGAACACAACAGTCGTTAATGGGGGAGACAAAAAGTAAAACAAAGTGCAAACCCCAACGAAGTATTTGTAACCAACAAAGCTGATGGATGAAAACCACAGTGTTCAACAAACCGCATGAAGAAAATATGCGATCAACCCTTAATAATGAGATAAGTTGTTTTGCTAAGTAAATTGATCATCAGGATAAATGTAAAATTACATAATAGTCCCTAGCTATAAGTACGTGATTATTTGATTGTCTTGAGAACGGACATAATCACTTGGGTTATGACGCACTGGTTAAGTCTTAGGGGGATGTAATAGAAAATCCCATCTATCGATGTTTGAATCCAGGTGCTGTCAACGCCTTTGTGACCATGAAGGTTCACCTACAATGACTCCACACCATTCGTGGTCGCCTCGAGGGATTAGTCAATGCACGTAAGCTGACCCGGAAACCCACTGTTACTCAAAAACACTGAGAACAGATATCCAATTAATAATTGTTTTATTATCAATTAACTACTCGATTGGGTGTTTGTTTTAACTTGTTTTGTGCTGACCTTTTTGTTGTTTATTTCCTATGAATACAACATGTTATAGGGTCATCATTATTTGTCCTAAACACAATGTGGTCCTTCAACACCTTTATCAACCATATTAGATAATAAATAAAAATAAAGGTTACTTTTTTTATAACCTTAATTAAATATATATATATATATATTATATATAGACTTGGGATCATGTGAGACCAAAGGTTTTTTGTGAGACCCGTAAGACCAATTATCAACCCTTGAATTAGATCTATAATTTAAACATTCATAATCACAAAATTGCCACGAGACTTTTCAATAATCACAAAATTGTCACTGTGCAACTTTAGACCCTTAGATCATTAGTTTATAAAGTTGATCAATGAACATAAATTGGTCTTACGGGTCTCACGAAAAACCTTGGTCTCATGTGAACCCGACCCTATATATATATATATATATATATATATATATATATATATATATATGCAATGTTTATACAATGTTGTTCATAGATAAAACGTTAAGGAACGTCTTACATATGAAAAAAATACGTTCATACATGAAATACATATCCGTACTCATATATAAGAACAAAACATGTGAAATAATATGAATCATAGTTTAAAATCAAACTAATCGAATGTTTTTTTTTTATTTTCACATTTGTTATTTTATCTGCATAAGTGGTTTTCATAGCTGTAAAGTGGGTTGAACCGTTGCACCGACGGGTGGTAAAAATTATTTTATAAGAAAATAATTTACGTATTTAATTTATATTTATTACGACAATATATTATAAACTTGAAATTTTTGAATCTACTGAAGTTACAACTACAGGCAGACTTGAACCGAGAAATAAACATTACATAACGGGTTTTTAAAATATGAGAGAATCGAGAATATTAATAATTAAGAGATTATTATTTTATAATTAATTAATTAATTTCACTAATTGTGTAATTAGTGACACTAATGGACAAATGTGCACATAACCCAAATATGATTGGTTTGTCTTTACTATTGTCCATAATTATTTTACCATAAAGTTTATTTATTTAAATAAAATCGAAGTGCACAATTAACAAAGTTCAAACAATTATGTAAAGAAAAATAAATAAATATAGTATATGTGTTGGAGATAGGGGTGTATATGGGTTGAGTTGATCAGACTTAAGGCATTTGAACAACTCAATCTAATGTTTGAGGTTTGAAAAATCTTAACCCAACCCAAATCAAAGTGCAACCCAGCCCAAACCGTACGGGTTGGTCGGGTTGATACTTTGATACATTAGAATATTCTTCTAACATTAAATATGTTATTTCTCTACTCATAATTTATTTTTCATCATCAATCATTTGATACATTTGAATATTCTTCTTAAACCTTACGTATATCACATTCAATTAATTTTTTCAATTTACATATATATGTTCATAGTTACTTAACATATATAACATATATACGAATGAGTTATATAGAGATAGAGAATAGATTGAAAATATGTATATATGAAGAGGGTACGTGATAGTGTAATTAGGGGTGCTCATGGGTTGGGCTGATCGGGTTGAAGACATTTGAACAACTCAATACAATGCTTGCGGTTTGGAAAAATCTTAACCCAACCCAACTCAAACCAAAATGCAACCCAACCCGTACGGGTTGGTTGGGTTAGTCGGGTTGGTCGGGTTGATACTTTGGTATATAAAGAATTCTTCTAACTTTGAATATGTTATTTCTCTACTCATAATTTCTTTTTCATCATCAACCAATTGATACAACTTATCCATATTTTTTACATATATCACGTTCAATTAATTTTCTCAATTTACATATATATGTTCACAGTTATTGAACATATATATATGAATGAGTAATATAGAGATATGAATAGATTGAAAATATGTGTATATGAAAAACATATATGATAGACATGATAGTGTAATTGTCTAATGTATATATTAATAGAAATTCAACAAATTATTAAATTCAATAAATAAAAGGATATCGGGTTCATCGGGTTGGGTTGGGTTCAAATACGGTTCGACAATTTTACAACTCGATTAGACATCGGGTTGCTTCGGGTTGGGTTATTTCACGTTGGGT